AGCCGCCGCGCCGCTGCCGCCCGCCGCTGCCGCCACGCCGCCGCCGCCACCGCCGCCGCCGCCGCCCCCGCCGCCCCCGCCGCCACCGCCGCCACCGCCGCCGCCTCCGCTGCAGCCGCCGCAACCGCCGCCCCCGCCGCAGCCGCCGCCGCCGCCGCCGCCGCCAAGTGTACTCTGCATGGTTTTGTTGACAGGGATGGTGGGGGGAGGCCGCATCGGGTTTGCTGCGCGTGCTCCGAATTTGGAGGCAGAGTGTGTTCTGTATTGTTTTTTAGAAGGGATGGTGGGGTGGTGCCCTCATTGACTCGGGTTGGCTCCCAGTCGCCTGGGGGAGGGGGTGTATATTAATAGAGAACAGTAATAAACCCCCGAAGGGGAAGAAGGAGGGGTGGAAGAGGAAACGCCCTAAACCACCTACGCCCAGAGGGCTGGTGGGATTTTCAATATGGGGCTCTCGCCAGATGACTTCCTCGAAACGTATGGTCAGACTCAGAAGTGTAGACGTCGGCTGGAATAAGTAGGAAGACACATGAAGCAGGACGGCGTTGGAAGTAGACTGGGCTCGAGGGGGAACCACTCGATCGTTTTTCCCAACCAGCCTGTGGTGTTGGGTCCTCGTTTTGAAGAGACTGCCCCCGCATTCCTCCTCTCCTCTCCTCTCTTCTCCTCTCCTTTCCTTTCCTCTCCTCTCCTCTCCTCTCTTCTCCTCTCCTCTCCTCTCCTCTCCTCTCCACCTCCTCCTCCTTTCCTCCTCCTCCTTTCCTCCTTTCCTCCTTTCCTCCTTTCCTCCTTTCCTCCTTTCCTCCTCCTCCTCCTCCTCCTCCTCCTCCTCCTCCTCCTCCTCCTCCTCCCCCTCCTCCCCCCTCACTTTGGCACACCCCTCACACGTTCCGTGGCCCCATCGGGAGCTCCACCGAAGGCCACAGTGCTCACGTCCACATGCGTTCCACACGCACATTTCGGCACACCCCTCACACATTTCGTGGGAGGTGGCGCTGCAAGCGTTTCCCCATAATGTCACCCCTTATGGTGCATTATGAGGAAACGCCTGCAGCGCCACCTCACCCGCGCTGTGTCCGCGCTGTGCGTGTGTGTGTGTGTGTGTGTGTGAGTGTGTGTGTGTGTGTGTTTGTGTGTGTGTGCGCGTGTGTGTTGGCGTGGTTTGTGGAGACGGGATTTTCTCGACCCGGCCCAGTCGAAGCATTGGCAAGAGAACGCGGTCAAGAACACGGTGCCCAAGGACACACGAACAAATACACGCATCCCCGGATTCCCGGTGTTTTTCCATACTTATCTTCTGGATTCTGGTCTTCCCCCCCACTTTCGATATTTTCCCTTATTTCCTTGGGGAACCGACGATTCTTTGTGTCTGCGTGTTTTCTCCCGCCTGGCAAGAGCATGAGCCCCTTTCGCCGAGGGGCCAAGGCCGAACGGAGGTGCCCCAATCGAGGAACCTTCCAGGATGGAAGGCCCGAACATAAAGGACGTGCGGGTACCGCTCCCAAGCTGGGGCAGCCGGGATTGCGCTGAGCCATCGCGCCACCTGCGTGGCCAGCAAGCACGTGGGAGGACCAAGCCAGCGCCGTCACCCTCGCGAGAGAGGGCTGAAGGAGGCGCCCATGAAGAACGCTAGAAACAGCCATCATACTTCCACAATAGGGGAGCCGAACAGGGAACGGAGGAGCTTCTCTGGCCACGGCGAACCTCGGCCTTGAACAGGTTCACTGACCCAGATTTGAAGAACGGCCCGAGAACCATAACCCCTTCGGAGCCCAGAGAGTGGTCCTTGCTTCAGCGTCCTGGCTGTAAGGAACGACCAGTTCTTTCAGGCCGCCTCCTGAACCCAGAGCAGCCCCTATTTCAAGGTGTCGACTGCATGGCTCGAGGGCGGGAAAATCGAGCATGACCGAGCAAGCGCCGATACCCTCGCGACGTAGATTATACGTGAACGCATATCTATGTACACAACCATACGTGCACGTGTATTTAGGTATGTATGCACGCGCACATGTATGTATGTATGAATGTATGCACTTATGTATGTATGTATGTATGCATGTATGTATGTACGTACATACGTACGTACGTACGTACGTACGTATGTATGTATGTATGTATGTATGTGTGTATGTTATCTATGTTTGTGTGCATGTATGTATGTGCATATGTGTAAGTAAATACGTAGATATCAGTATGTATGTGTATATGTATATGTATGCATATATGTATGTATGTATGTATGTATGTATGTATGTATGTATGTATGTATGTATGTATGCATATATGCATGCATGTATGCATGTGTACGTATGTATGTATATATGCATATATTTATGTATATATGTCTGAATGTACGTACGTATGTATGTATGTATGTATGTATGCATGCATGTATGTATGTGTGTGTATGTTTGTATGTGTGTATGTATGGATGCATGTCTATGTATGCATGCAGAACTGTATGAATGCATATATGCCTGTATGTCTGTATGCATGCATGTCTACATGTGTGTATGTATATATGTATGTATGTATGCATGCATGCATGCATGCATGCATGCATATATGCATGTATGCATGGATGTATGAATAGATGTATGCATGTCTGTATGTATGCACGTCTGTATGCATACATTGTTGTGTGTATGCATGCGTGAATGCATGCATGCATGCATATACGTATGCATGTAGGCATGCGTGATGTACGTATGCATGTATGTATGCGTGCATGTATGCATGCACACATGTATGTATGTATGTATGCACGTGCGCATGCATGTATGTAGGTCGGTAGGCATACACGTATGTAGGTATGCAACTATGTGTGCATGCATGTATATATGCATGCATGTATGTATGCATGCATGCATGTATGTAGGGTCTGTATGTGTGTATGTATGGACAGGTATATGTATATATGTTTGTTCCTGTCTGTCTGTGTGCCTGTTTGCCTGCCTGCCTGCCTGCCTGTCTGTTTCTATATAGATATGTATATCTGTATAAGAAAACGAATGAGAGAGGCTGCAGTGGAAGCGAGCACCCCGCGCGCTCAGTGGAGTGCTTTCGGGCCGCTGACAACGCCGTGGCCGGCACAAGCAAGGCAACGGCGCGCCCGAGAGACTCTCCCCTGAGGATCGTGTGTTTTTGGTGCTCTGAACGATCCAAACTCTTCGGCGTGCCAATGACGTGACGCATTCGGCGGCCAGCCCGGCCGTCACCAGGCCAGCCGCCCCCCCCCCGCCCAGGCGACGTAGCGTTCGGTGCCGGCGGGGCATGAAAATTTGGTTGGCCAGTCTGAGCTGTTCCCCCCCCGCACTGGTGACGTTCGAATTGCACCGGGGCGACGGGCTCGAAGGTGTGAGCCTGGAGGTCGGAGAGAGCTGCCCAAGCCTGGAGGCGCCTCAAGCCGTCCATGCTGGCCCGAGGGTTGGCGCCTCACCCCGCCTCCACGGGGATTTCTCATCCCCTGCATGGGCCGTAGGGCCTTCTCTCCCTCAGCAGGAGACGCCGAGGCTCGGCCATGATGCACATCGAAGGACAGGCTGCTAAGGCGCAGTCTCGTTGGCCGCGAGCTGCCGCGTGGTCTCGACGGCGGCGCCAGGCTCGGTAGTCTTCGCGGCGGCGAGGGGGGCGGAAGAGAGCCGAGGCAGAGAAGACGATGCACGGTCGCTCGTGGGGTTCAGCCTAAAACTCACTCTGAGCGTACACTCTGGTGCTACCTACCACTCCCATGGTCCGAACAGGTTGCTGTGTTTGTGTGCGCACTTGCACGCAGGTGGTGCTTCCCTGTGCAGGGGCGCTGCAGAGGATGTGGGCGCTCCGATGCATACTGATCAGCACGTTCTCCGACAAAATGCACGCATGCCAATAAATCCGTGGATGCACGCACCCATGCGTACATACCTGTATCTGAAAGGAGTCAGAGCGAGGCGTATATATACTTATATATATAGAGAGAGAGAGAGAGAGAGAGAGAGAGAGAGAGGCAGAGAAAGAGACAGTGAGAGAGATTGAGACAGAGAGACGCCGAGAAAAGGTAGGCGAGACTCAAGTATGCGGCAAAGAAACACAGTGGGATGGGATGGGGTGATACCGGGCCAGGGGGGAAGTTTCGGAACAAACGCGAGCCATCTAAATAATCCAAGGCTCCGCCCCCCCCCTCCAATGCTAGTGGGATCGGGCCGCCCCTCCCGCTTGATGGGTATGCCCGTGAGCCTCGCGAAGGCCTCGCGAGTGGGATCGCGCCACCTCCCCCTCCCCTGCGGGCGTGGCCCCGTGGGCGTGGCGTGGTGGTGCGTGCCGGTGCCCCGCCTCCCCCTGTGGTGGTGGGTGCCAGTGTCCCCCCTCCCCCTGTGGGTGTGGGGTGGTTCGTCGTCGTCGTCGTCGTCGCCGTCGTCGTCTACCGTCGTCGTCGTCGTCGTCGTCGTCGTCGTCGTCGTCGTCGTCGTCGTCTACCGTCGGCGCCGGCGTCGGCGTCGTCGTCGTCGTCCCACCCCCCCATGCCATCTGGGGAGGGGCCTGTGGAACCCTGGGGTCCATCCCATCTTTTGGGGGGGGGGCCTGTGAGCCCTCGACCCAGGATCATACATAATGAAATAGTGGATCGCGAAGGACAGGAGGTGCATTCTTCAAGGCTAAGTAGAAAGTCGGGAGGCAGAGATGCTACATAGTATGTCAAATTAGTACGTAGGCCAAACCACTTTCCTCTTGAGCCCCACATGCCAACCCTCGTCTTCGTACGCACCCTGTTCCTCATCCGTGTCCTGAACCTCTTTTCCATTTTGTTATTGCTTCTCCTCCTCCTCCTCCCCCTCCTCTTCCGCATCTTTCCCTTCACCCTTCACCTCTCCTCGTGCGCCATGGTGTTGGTTACACGTGCCCGTCTGCATGCGTCTGCACCGCAGGGCCCGCCTCGAAGATCATACTCAAGGCTTGCATGGCGTTCTGGAACGGGCCTGTCCCATGGGTCGCGAAAGCATTGGTACCATCGTGCCTTGCGTCCTTGTCCTCGACTTGTGCTGCACCCGATGCTTGATCTACCGCTCGTGCGTAGCATTCAACATTCGCCCAGCTGGCACTCCTCTTCATCCTCTTCCTCCCATATATTCCCCTTCGTTCCCCTGCCCCTTCCACGACACTGTCCCCTTCATCCCTACGCCCTACGCTGCCGCTTCCCGTCTCGTGTATGTACCCACTAATCTCTTGCCTTCCGCAACTGCCCCACCTCCCGATCCCCGTCACAACACTTCAACAAAATGTTTGGCTCGCACTTGCCGGCCATATTAATGCCGTGTTGATTTGTATAATCTGCCAGCAGTATGTGCTGACATCAGCAGCGGTGCGCAGGTAGTGGCAGCAATTGCTGCCAAATAAATCGCCGCAACAAATCCTTGGCGACCAACCTTTCAACGATGGAGAAAAGCACCTGTGCGGCCCAGGTCGAGACGCGTGAACCGAGATTATCTCGGGTGACCTAGCAAAGATGCGAGAAAACACGGACACAAGACTGGTGTACGTCACAGTCGAAACAATTCCGGCGGCGTCTGGCCAAACACCCCATGGCGAAAGGGTGTGCCCTTGCGCAAAGGGCATGAGAGGCCTCTTAGATGGGGATCCGAGTAGATGAGGTCGGAGAATGGCGCGGTGTCGGCGATGCATCGGTGATACATCGCCGATGCATGGGCGATGCGTCGGCGACGTCGGCGATGCATCGGCGCCATCGGCGTGGAGATCATAGGGCCCTACCTGGGCCTCATCTGCTCGGACCCCACCTGGGAGGCCTCGAGGCATGCACCCCTGCCGAGCGGCATGGGTGCAAGGGTAGCCTTGAGAAGCTCTCCGTCCTCGCTATCGACTTCGCCTGAGGCTCCACAGGGCTGGCCACTCCCGACACAACGAAGAGAAGAACCAAAAGGAGCCACTTTCGCCAGGCGTGGCGTGGCACGACCGAGTGAGGGCAGGCTGGCGAGATCCAGGAGCGGGGACAGCCGACCAGTCGAGGCCAAGCCTGGGTGCAGCGCTTGCCACGGGGCCCACCTCCTGGTCACCACATGGATAGTGGAACACTTCAAGAATTATGACTCCTCTATGGTGCTACGAGCACTACATGCTTGGGCGGCCCGACATCGCCGGGAGCACGTGTGTCGACATGACTGGATAGGTGCCGAAGCTGAAACGGGCAGCGCCGCAGCGGGCAGCGAAGATGGAGGGCCGCAGCCGCCGCAACCTGGGTCACCCAGCTTCGCCTCGCGCCCCGCGATGCGCGACGAGCGCCTTTCTTCGCGCCCCTCGCGCCGCCGCCCTGGAGAAGAGTGCCTCTCCAATCCAAGCCGCGATGCGCGATTCTCTTCCCGCCCCCAGGGGTTGAGCAGAGGCTGACCGTCCTGGCCTTCCTGTAGGCCTAGCACGACATGCTCTTAGAACCAACCAGTGTTCCCATATATCACAAAAGCCACGTTCTTGTGCCATCAGGCCGACGTGCTGAAGCAGGACGGACCCAGCCAGACACGCTCTGAGAACACTCCCCGCACAGACCACGCGGGGCTCTCAGAACGTTCTTGGGTGGGCCTGCAGGCAAGCCGGGACGCTTCGCCCCTGCCCCTCCCGGGGGTGCGGGGGGGACCCAGGCCACCGCCGCCTGGCCATCGCTCGGACGTCCATTCGATGTGCCTCTTCCAGTTTCGTGCGTGGTTTTATCCGCCAAATGATCAAGGATGCTCCTCGATGGCCCTCGCCGAGACAAAAGGCACACGTCCGAGCGATGCCACCGCCGCCGCCGCAGCCGCCGCAGCCGGCCGCGGCCCCGCCCCCCGCGGGGGGGGCGAGCGCGGGCTGCCGATGGCACTGGGGGGCCGCTCGTGCAGGCCGGCGGCGGCCGGCGCAGCCGCCGGGCGGTGGCGGCCGCCGGGCGGTGGCGGCCGCGGCGGCGGCAGCCGTCCGCACCGGCGTCGAGGTGCCGGCGGGGGCCGACAGCGAGGGCGGCGAGGTCGACAGGGAGGCGGCGCTGCGCAAAGGGCTCGGGCGGCCGCACCTGCGGCTCCGCGCGGCCGCTGGGCGCGAGGGGCTCGCGCGGCCCAGCCCTCCTCGGGGGCCTGCCGCGCGTTTACAGCCACGGGGCGGTGCGCGCGGGCTTCGGGGGAGGGGCGGAGTCGGCGCCCGCGTCGGCGGCGGAGGCCAAGCGGCGCGCCCGCGGGGCGCGCAAGCGAGGCCGTCGCGGTGAGGAGAAGGAGCCGCCGCCCGCCGCGGTGCAGGAGCTGGGCGGCACCTCCGACCAGGAGGCGGCGCGGCTCGGCAGCGGCGCGGAGGAGGCGTCGGCGGACTCGGACGAGACGCCGGCGGGAGGGCAGAGCATCACGCAGTCGGGCCTCTCCTTCGGGGTTGCGGCGCCAGCGGTCAAGGAGGGGGAGCAGCTCGACTTCGACATCTGCTCGGAGGTTGAGGCGCAGCTTGACATCGGCTCGGAGTTGGCGTCGACGGACTCGGAGTGGGAGCTGTGATACG